GCATAAAAACTTTACTTTGATGTAAAAGTCATAATAGCTGCTGGTTAAACTTGAGACATTCCGTTTGCAAGTGACATAATGTCTAATTATTATCCTCAGTCCTTGCACTCTTTACTGAAGTACCACTGAATACAGATAATCCTGGATTTACAATCCTTTGTTTAGTGCAGGGGCCTTCAAACGTGGCCCTTTTATGACTTGTGGACTTCAACTCCCAGAATTCCTCAGCCAGCATGGCTCAGCTTGGAAACCTCTCTGTTTCCCCTCAGGATGCCTGGCTGAGGAATTCTGGGAGTTGAAGTCCATGAGTCATAAAAGAGCCAAGGTTGCCTACCCCTGCAATAGGGGAAGCTGAAAAAAAGTGCAAAACTCACGCCATTTATCCCTTTTCCTGGAGTGCAAGCCTTTCACTGACCTGTTGGTTTCCTTCCCCCCCCCCCTTCCCCTCTACAGCTTTGGATCGCATCCTGCCTCTTTCGGAACAGGAAAGCATCTGTGGTTGAAGCCTCGCAGGTGTCTTTCTATAGGTCACTTCCTCCCTTTCAGACCGAGGTACGTTCGACAAAACCCCCACAGTGCTGAAATGTCTTGTGCCTTTCCTCTTCGGTGGCTGCAGGTAGTCTAAATAAAGAAACAATTAATTTCATATAAAAAAGATGCACAGGCGACATCCTTAGGCACGTCCACACAGACACGGTCACAAACCCCCACCCAAGGTTAGTCTTTGCCTGACCGCTCGGATGCTAGCGTTGTTCCATTTGTTTGAAAGAGGTTCTTAAGTTCTGCAACCCGAGATTCAAAGCACGGCAGATAGTCCCCAAGGTACGACGGATTGCTTAGCGGCCGTTCGAAGCTCTGACAGACCTCCCCACGGCTACTTCAAATCTGGATTTGAAGTTCCCGCAGTTGGTTGTATTTTGCCATAAACCGGCATTTTGGTTTGTCTGGCAAAAAATACCCGTTGTGGAGAATGGATTTGCTTAATGGCCTCAAGTGTGTCGTGGTTCCGATAGAGGAGAGCAGTTTTTATTTTGTGGGAAAATTGTGGCAATAATTTAATGGCCACCCGTATCTGTTTACGACACGCCCGTGAAAAAGGTTGTAAAATCAGTCACAAGTCGCATGGTGACCTGCTTAATGACTAGCACAGCTTGCGACCATAATTCCAGGCTCAATTATGGTCATAAATCAAGGATTGCCTATATCATGGGTAGGCAACCTTGGCTCTTTTATGACTCGTGGACTTCAACTCCCAGAATTCCTGAGCCAGCATGGCTCAGCTTGGAAACCTCTCCCTTTCCCCTCAGCATGGCTGGCTCAGGAATTCTGGGAGTTGAAGTCCACCAGTCCTAAAAGAGCCAAAGTTGCCTACCCCTGGCCATTACTGTCGTACTGACCTGGAGGTTGTTAAGTTACCAATTTGGCAGGAAGGCAGAAATTCAGGGTACGTGATGGTGTTTGTGTTTTCCTTCTGAGCAAGCAGGGTGGGCTAGATCCACACCTCAGGCTAAATCACAAACCATGGTCTACATGTTTTGTGGGTCAAGTCTGGCCATTAAGCTAGGCTACAGATAAAAAAAAAATTGTGGCATAATATGTATGTGACCCCATCAGAAAGGCTTCTTAATTGCATTGCCATGTTATAGTTCAATTTGGAAAGCATGATTAACAGTTTTAAAACGAGCTCTAATATGTCAGTGAAGCTTGTTATCCTTGCTTTGCTTCTTAAAACTTTTTAAAAAATCATTGTAGTAGGAAACCAGATTGGTTTCTCTTGCTAAGAGGGAGACGTGATTGTCTCTTTTGTGGCTTACAAAACAGAATTGTATGATTCTCTGCATATGATTGCCCAAATGGATTAAGTAATGCACGCATTCAGTGTGTAGGTAGCCTTTGTGTTATACCAAAGAATATTCAATTTGTACTTCCTTGTTACTAAACATGACCCATTCATTGGAATGCATCCTCTTGGGTGGACTAGGATAAAAAACCTAAATATTAGTCATTTAATGATGCATTCCATGTGACTCGCCCTTGAATACATAGCGTTCTTTTTTACACCTCACTTTTATTTGAGTTCAGTAAAAAAAAACAAAGATGATTAGGGGACTGGAGGTTAAAACATATAAGGAACGGTTGGGTATGTCTAGTTTAACAAAGAGAAGGATGAGGGGGGACATGATAGCAGTGTTCCAATATCTCAGGGGCTGCCACAAAGAAGAGGGAGTCAAGCTATTCTCCAAAGCACCTGAAGGCAGGACAAGAAGCAACGGATGGAAACTATCCAAAGAGAGAAGCAACCTAGAACTAAGGAGAAACTTCCTGACAGTGAGAACAATCAAGCAGTGGAACAACCTGCCTCCAGAAGCGGTGAATGCTCCAACACTGGAAGTTTTTAAGAAGAGACTGGACAGCCATTTGTCTGAAATGGTGTAGGGTTCCTGCCTGAGCAGGGGGTTGGACTCGATGACCTCCAAGGTCCCTTCCAACTTTATTATTATTATTATTAAAATACACATTCAGCATACATGAATATGTTTGTGTCTCTGGATTCCAGCCTCATAAATGGAAAGATTGATTAATAGGTTTCAGATTTAGTGCATAAATGTTTTGTATTTTTTCCCCCCCAGGTTTTAGAAATTTGGTGTGCAGGAACATGTCTCAGTCTGGAGAAAAAGTAAAGGTGAGTTAGAACTTGGGACATTAGCCCATCAAAACAATTCTTAGCTTTCAATGTTTTATTTTGGCTTTTAGGGTTTAAAGGCTGTGTTTTGCCATCACTTTGGGGCGGGACAGTAAAGAAAAGAACAGCTGGAAGGAATTTTAGAGAATTATTGTTGTTTAAATAAATAGCCCACTTTCATAACTTGAAACAATCCAGCTTTATTCGTTCAACTTTCTGTTCGACAGACTGGAGGAAAAAGAATAGAAAATTTTCTGCAAATTGCCGAATCCATTGCAGAAAACAGTGGATAACAACAGCAGATCAAAACGAGACAGGAATCTTTAGTATAAAATTGACTGAATATCCTGGTTTCCCCCCTTCCACAGCCCAATGTTTTAAACATAACTTTTCAGCATGAATTTTCAAGCAAAGGATAGCTAACAAAAGATTTTCTTGGGTTTCTTCATTATTATCTGCGAATGAACGAGTAAAACAGCCGTATGCTGTGAATGATGGTTGTTATGCAGCCAATCCAGTTTGATATTTAAGCTGGTTTTGGATTGAGTAGAAAGCTGAGATCTCCCTACAGGGCGAAACGAAATGCTTTTCCAAACATTCCTTTGCTGCTTCAGATTCTCAAGAAGTGGTAAAAAGAGGAAGTAAAACTAACCCCGTATTTTCTCGCAGTGAGAGTCTATAGAGACTCTGTGTAATTCTTGCAGAGATTTCCTCTTAAACCACGTTCGTCGCCCTCTTCCACTTGCATACAAGCCAGGGAAAGGAAATAGGAACCACAGTATTCCCATTACAACTCAGTATACAGCAACGTTTCTCAACCTTGGCGACTGTAAGATTTGTGGACTTCAATTCCCAGAATCCCCCCCAGCCACCTATATATTGAAATCCACACATCTTAAAAGTCACCAAGGCTGAGGAACACTTGTCTGATGGGTTGCTTTATTTATTTATTTTTGTTCTCCTTAAGTTCCTTGCATATTTCACTTTTAAGATCCTGGTCTCCAGCTTGCAACTTCCCAACTTTGGTGTGTTTTCATAAATTCCGCCTCCAATTCGCTGCTTTCATTAATGGGTTTCTCGTTCCAGTTTTCCGACTCGGCTGGATACGTGGGGTTTGCCAATCTCCCCAACCAAGTTCACCGGAAGTCGGTTAAGAAAGGGTTTGAATTCACCCTCATGGTTGTCGGTACGTGGATTTGATTTTCCATATCGGATGGAAACTAATCAAGGAGAGAAGCAACCTAGAATTCAGGAGAAACTTCCTGACAGTCAGAACAATTAACCAGTGGAACAACCTGCCTCCAGAAGCGGTGAATGCTCCAACACTGGAAATTTTTAAGAAGAGACTAGACAGCCATTTGTCTGAAATGGTATAGGGTCTCCTGCCTGAGCAGGGGGTTGGACTTGATGATCTCCAAAGTCCCTTCCAATTTTTATTATTATTATTGTTGTTGTTATTGTGGATGCTTTGTTTTATTGGGTGTGGTGAAGATGATCCATTTTATGCTTTCCAAATATTATTTATAATTTTGGTTTCTAGGGCGTTCCTTTCTTGCTTTTATCTGTGTAAGCCACCTAAAGGTTTTGATAAAGTGCTGTGCAAAAACCTGGAATCAAGTCACTAAATAAAATACGGAGCAGAGCAACCACTGCAGAAGCAGTGCGGTGTATCAGTTACGGAGTTGGACCCTGGATTAAATCCCTTTGGGATTTTAAGATGATTTTTAGCATCCAGGATGAAATTTATCTCCCCATAAGACGATTGTTAGGGGAATAAAATGAAAGCAGATTGCCGTACGTGCAGATTTGGCTTTTTCTTTTATTTCTAGATAAGAAAGAGAAAGTCAGA